AAGAGTTAACATAAAACAATGAGAATAATCATAAAATTGATATTATTTAATGCAAAATAGTTATAAGTATTGTTACACTTTAAGAAAAAATTTTGTAATAATTATAAACATAATGAAAAGTAACAACAAATATTAAAAAAATTATTGAAATGTAATAAATTGATAACGTAAAAAAATTAGTGTTATAAATAAAAAATATTTTAATAAAAAAAATAAGTGTTAACGTAAAAATGTGAGAATAATTTTAAAATTGGCTTCATTTAGTGTAAAATATATTAAAAGTATCATAGTACCTTAAGAAAAAATTATGATAATTCTAAATATAATAAAAGGTCAGAATAAGCGTAAAATATTTTATTATAACATAAATATAAGTTGACAACATAAAAAATTTATTATGATAAATAAAAAATAATTTTAAATAAAAAAATACATGTTAACATAAAAATGCGAGAATAATTAAAAAGTTTGAATCATTTGGTGTAAAATATATTATAATGTCATAACCTAAAATGATAAGAATAGCTGTAAACTTGGTGTCATTTGACATAAATTTGATTAGGAGTGTCATAACATCTTAATAAAAAGTTATAATAGTTATAAACATAATAAAAAATAGAAATAAGTATAAAAAATATTATTGTAACATAAATAATATTTTTATTAACATAAAAGAATTATTATTACAAATAAATAATAATTCTAAATAAAAAATAAATGTTAATATAAAAAATATAAGAGTAATCATAAAATTGATATCATTTAGCAAAAAAGATTGAAGTGTTGTAACACCTTTAAAAAAAGTTATGATAATCTTAAACATAGTGAAAGGTAATAACAAGCATAAAAAGATATTATTATAATGTAAATAATTAAGTTGGTAACGTAAAAAAATTATTATTACAAATAAAAAATAATTTTAGACAAAAAATAAGAGTTAACATAAATTGTGATAATAATTGTAAAATTCGATTATTTTATATAAAATTGTTAGATGTGTTGTTATACCTTAACAAAAAATTTGTAATAATTTTAAATATAATGAAAAGTAACAAAAAAATGTAAAAATATATTATTGAAATGTAATAAAATTGTAATGTAAAAAAATTAATATTATAAATAAAAATAATTCTAAATAAAAAAATAAGCGTTAAAGTAAAAAGATGAAAATAATTGTAAAAATAGTATAATTTGACGTAAAATATATTTGAAGTGTCGTAATTTTAAGAAAAAATTGTGATAATTTTAAATATTATAAAATGTAAGAACAAGGTTAACAAACTTTATTATAATGTAAATAATTAAATTGACAACAAAAAAATTATTATAAATAAATAGTAATTTTAAATCTAAAAATAAGTATTAACATAAAAAGATAAGAATAATTGTAAAATTAATATAATTTAACATAAAATGTGTTAAACGTATTGTAACGTAAAAATATAAAAATAGTCGTAAAATTTGTATCATTTTATATAAAAATATATTAAAACTATCGTAACACTATAAGAAATAGTTGTGATAATCCTAAACGTAACGAAATATAAGAATAAGCCTAAAAAAAATTATTTTAATGTAAATAATTAAGTTGACAACATAAAATTATTATTATTATAAATAAAAAATAATTCAATAAAAAAATAAGTGTTTAAGTAAAAATGTAATAATAATTATAAAATTTGTATCACTTGGTATAAAAGTGTATTAGAAGTGTTGTAACATTTTAAGAAAAATTTTGTGATAATTTTAAACATAACAAAATATAAGAATAAGTGTACAAATATATTATTATAACATAAATATTTAAATTGGTAACGTAAAAATTTATTATTATTAATAATAAATAATTCTAAACTAAAAAAGTGTTAACGTAAAAAAAATAATCGTAAAATTAATATCATTTAATGTCGTAATACCTTAAAAAAAATTATGATAGTTTTAAATGAAACAAAAAAAAAAAACAAGCGTAACAAAAATTAAAATAAATAAATAATTTGACAATATAAAAGAATTAATATTTTTAAATTACAATATTTTAAATAAAAAAAAGTTTTTATTGTAAAAAGATATAAATAATCATAAAATTCATATAATTAGATGTAAAATGAGTTTGAAATGTTTTATCTTTGAAAAAAAAATTTAATAATTTTAAATGCAATGATAAAAAAATATAAAATATATTATTAAAAGTAATTAATTAAGTTGGTTTCAAAATATAAATTGATATTATAAAATTAAAAAATATGTTATTTTTATTTGTTAAATTAATAAATTAAATAAATTTATATATTTTTTTTAATGTTTACCTCTGTTCTTCTTTTTTCTTTTGTTTTTTTAAGTTATATTATTTTTATAATTTATTATGATATATATGAGATATCATCATATGATTATAGAATAAGATTGATATATTGCGACCTTACCGTAAATAAATCTTATTGTATAATTTTTATTATTTAAAATTTTTAATAAATAGTACTATGATGGTTGAATAAATAAAAAAGTTAATGTCATGCCTACAACTATGTTAATGCTTGGATTAATATTAACAATTGTTAAAAGTATAGGTATTCATTTTGTATATAAATTTTAATAAAAATTATATATAAATTTAATAAAAAATTTTTATATTTTGATAAAATTTTATATAATATATATTTTTATATTTTACATATATTTGACATAGTATTAATACTTTATTAATACATGAATTATTAAATTTGATAAAAAAATTTAAATTTATTTATTTTTTATTTTATATGTATTAAAAATTTGGCATTATTAAAATTTATATTATCATGTGATTTATTAATTATGATATAAATATATTTTTATTTAAAAGTATAAAAATTATTCACTTTTACATAAAAAACTACCTAAATTAACTTTTCTTTTTAAAGAAAAGAAAGAAACACGCATGATGTGCAAAATTCTAATTATAAGTATTAATAATTTTACAAATTTAATTTTCTTTTTATTGTGTGATCTGTTAAATTTTTAGTTTTAAGGTCTATTTGGATTGGCGATAAAATTAATTTTGATAAGATTAAAAATAATAATAAAAATTATTGTATTTATGATTGAAAAAAATTATTATAATTATGATTGAAAAAATAATAAAAATTTTATATTAAATAAATCTTACTAAAATTAATATTTAAATTTAATTAATTATGATCGAAACTTAGCTGTATCTCATTAGTGCAGATACATCTCAACACTAAATTAATTTTGTAAGTTTGAATGTAGAAGCGTAAAAACGGTGTTAGTTGGGAAATATATTTTTAGGGAGTGTTCGGTTCGGGAGAATTCATATATTTTTTTTCAAACACTTATTGTTGGGTATTTGATTCTAACATTTTGTTCAAGATAATTTAATTCCGATGGAAAGTGACAGATTCCTCACATCATTCAAAGTTTCGAAATAAAAAACCCACCTCTTCCTGTGGTATTTTATAATTCAGGGGGGAATTGCATTATTTCTAAAATTGACCTGAATAAAAAATTATGAATAGCTGTTACTATTATGAAAAATATGTCTAAAAGTGATTGTAAATCAGTTGTAGATTTTTGTTGCTAAATAATATTTTTATATTACAAATTAATGACGTTCGACTAAAAATGCTTTAAATAATCCCCTAAAAAATTTAATTAGTATTATTTAAAGCATTTTTTAGCTAGAAACGCCTTAAATAATCTACAAAAAATAAATAATCCCCACAAATAAATGTTAAAGGGAAGAGCCAAATCGACGATCTTATGATTAATAACCATATACTCTAACTAACTAAGTTCAAAATTTTTATGTTTTATCTCTTAAATCCTATAAATAATGAAATTGATTATTTAAGACATTTTTAGTCAAAAACATCTTAAATAATATGGTTTCAAAAATTGAAGAGTATTATTTAAGGTTTTTTTTTTTAATCAAAATCCTCTTAAATAATCCATTTAAAAAAAATTAAAGGGTTAAAAGTTGAGATTGAACGTATAATCTTATGGTTAGTAATTATATACTCTAATCGATTACGCAATTCAAAATTTTTTATATTTTATCTCTTAATCTTATAAGTAATGAAAAAAATTATTTAAGATATTTTTAGTAAAAAACACCTTAAATAATACAATTAAAAAAGCGAAGGATATTATTTAAGGTATTTTTTTTTTTACTAAAAAAGCCTTAAATAATTCAATTTAAAAATATATTAGAGATTATTTAATATATTTTGGTTAAAAATATCTTAAATAATCCCGTTTAAAAAATATTAGAGTTATTTAAGTTTTTTTTTGATTAAAAATATCTTAAATAATATTTTTAAAAAATTGAAGAATATTATTTAAGGCGTTTTTTTTAAAAAGCATTAAATAATTCATTTAAAAAAATATTAGAAATTATTTAAAGTGTTTTTAGATAAAAAATATATTAACTAATCTTCTTATATTTTTTAAATAGCATTGATTTAAGACACTTTTTTGCTAAAAATATCTTAAATAATCTATTTTAAGAAAATAAAAAAATTATTTATGGTATTTTTAACTAAAAATACCTTAAATAATTTGAATAATTTTTTATTAATAGTATTTTATAAATAAGAACAATAATCAAATAAAATATTTATCTTTTTTTATTATTAAAAGTGCAATTTATCATTTGAATATTTATTATTAATAAAAATTAATAAAAAATTATAATTATATATATTAAAGAGATTATAATAATTATTTAAAAATTAATATACATAAAATTTTTTAATCAAATGGGTGAATTTAAATACTAAATATTCTAAAAATGACAAAAAATATTAAGTATCATACTTTCTAAAAAATTATACATTTTTTCGAAATATAAGATTACAATCCAAACGCCTTTTTAAACTAAAACTGGGCAGAAACAAAGGGGACAGCCCCAAAGCGCTCCCCAAAATTTGAAACATAGAGTAAGCGCGAAAACTGAAGCAAAGCAAAACGACAATGCACAGAAAACACTATAGCGATTTGTGCGGTTAAGATTTTCTTGAAATTACTTCTCTCAGCTGACTCTGAGATTCGTTCCGTCCTCTTTTTAATTTTTTTTTTAAAATTTGAATCTCTTATTTTTATTTTCCAGTTTAATCAGCTTTAAAGCTTCGTTCACAGATTTTCAGGTCACTTAAGAGTAAGTAACCAAAACTTTATATTTTTGTTGAAGTAAAACGATGTTGTTTGATCGCCCATAAAACTCCAGTTTTGGTGTGTGTGTGTGTATATATATTCCTTCTTTGAGTTTGAGTATCCCACATTTAAGCTGATTTTTTTTTTGGGGACATTTTATGATATTTTTGAGATGGTAGTTAAGCTAAATTTCTGTTTGTCTATAAAGGAAATCTTAGAAAAAAAAAAAGGGAAAGCAAATGAAAAATTTGAAATCTGTGTCCTTCCCGGTTTCAATTTAAGCTAGGGTCTTGTGCTCGGCCTTAGAGTTTCATGTTTTTCTTTTGTTTTTTTTTGAACAAGAGTTTTCAGTTGTTTCGACTTTCACAATTATTTTAACTACATTGATTCTCGTTATAAGGTTCTTTGCTGTTTCCTTTTCCTCCTTTTGTTTGTCCCTCTAACTTTTATTGCTGTGAAGAAACCTTGCTTTTTGTTTTGTTTTGCAAATTCATGTTTCAAGCGATGGTGCTTCCTTTAAATCTCTTTAACCCATAGATGATGTAAAATAGGTACATAAGCAGCAACAAGATGAAGGCACACATGCATACAAAAGCAAAAGGACCCTCCAAGGTAAATTCGCAACAGGTAGTTTTTGAGCTAAAGAATAAGGTGAATCTTGCGCTGAACAAGTTAGCGGACAGAGATACCTATCAAATAGGAGTTGATGAGCTTGAGAATATAGCAGAATGTTTAACCCCAGATAAGATTTCCCCATTTTTATCATGTATATTGGACACTGATTCGGAGCAGAAGAGTGCGGTTCGAAAGGAATCCATCAGGTTGATGGCTACATTAGCTAGATTTCATCAGGGTCTTATCGGTCCATATCTAAGTAAGATGGTTGCTAGCATCATTAAGAGGCTCAAGGACCCAGACTCGGTTGTGAGGGATGCTTGCCAAGAAACAATGGGTGTTTTGGCTTCAAAATTTAGTAATCAGGAAGATGAGAACAATGGAGTTTTTGTTGTGTTGGTGAAGCCACTTTTCGAAGCATTAGGAGAACAAAATAAGCTGGTGCAATCGGGTGCAGCTTTGTGCTTGGCAAGGGTCATTGACAATACCCATGATCCTCCAACTTCAATTTTGCAGCGGATGTTGACTCGGACTACAAAGTTTCTCAAGAATCCACACTTAATGGCAAAATCATCGGTAATTGAGTTAAACAAAAGCATTATTCAGGTCAGTTTCAACTGTAGTGTACATTGAATTTTGCATTGATTTTGTTCTGCTGGTTCATTGGAAGGTTTCTTTTTTCCTTTGCTGTGCCTCTGTAAATGAAAGTTGACGATTATTACCTACAACCTCTGTGTTTTGATTACTTGTTTACTCTGTATCTGCATGCAGACGGATAATAATTCCTTGTGCAAAAGCAGGAAAAGGTTTCTGTTTATAAAAGAATAGATTAAATCAAGTTTTTTTTTTTTCCTTCTCTATACATATGAGAAGGTCCAAGGAGGAAGAGGGGATTCTAGAACTTATCCCTTCTAAGGAGAGGTAACAGCCACTAGGCAAGCCTTGGTTGTTACAATAAAACGAGTTTTACATGAAGTTCAATCAATTTACTTGTTTTATGCTTTATACATATGGTAATATATCAATCTACTATTGTGTTAGATCTTGTCTGACATCCACAAAATTGATTGAAAAACTCCCGATATCAGTCTGCCGTGTGTTTTTCCATGAAGCTAATTGGTCACAGTTATGGGGATGGATTCAATTTGCAACTGCAGGATCTGTTAACCAATGAGGTTTTACATCTACTGGATGGGAATACTCTCTCTAGATTTTGCTTCTCTTGGCTGTCTGCAAGTTGTATCTGTTTTTCCTTGTTTTGAGACTAGAAAATGAACAGTGTTTACGTTTTCATGTTTGACTGATTGGATATCTAGAGATTCTTACAAATTTTTTTTTTTTAATTTGTAAGTAGATTAATGCTGCTAGATTTTTTCAGTTTCATTATAGTTTAATGTGCTTTAAATTAATCCATATAAAGAATCAGTCATACACCTAAAACTTTGTGTTTGTGCTACATTTCCTGATAATTTTAAAAAGACTATTAAAAAGCTCAAATTGGAAGATACCCTTGGACAAAAAACTCAATTAAATTTATAAATAACTATTCTAGTGCGTAATTAGCTACCAAGGACTTGTTCCCTAGACAAAACATTTTCTTTGTAGATGAAGAGTCCTTCATCTTAGCCTTTGGCTTCCAAAGAGGATGAACTTTATCTAACAAAGCTATTGCTGCATTATCAATTCTTCCCCTCCGAAATGAAAATGAAATTCATTTTGTCAAATATGGATTTCTCAATGCATTTTAGAAGGAAAGAACCACCTTCACTATCAATGCATTTTAGAAGGAAGAAACCAACTGTTCTTTTGAGCTTTGTTACCTCGACATCTTTGTAAGATTTAACACTGTCTCAACATCATCATACTTGAAGGAGCAAGTGTCGTTTAACCATAATGTTTGACCTGTTTATTAAATAACCATGGTCGCCCCAATAAGATATGGCTCAACTTCATGGGCTACAGAAAACATTGTGCTTGATCAACAAAACTTTGAATCGACTATGTCAAAAGCACCCTGTCACTAACTTTTAAAGCAGTGTTATTTGCTCATACCACAATGGATTAGATGTGGTGTAATTTTATGGTTATTCAAGACATCCTTCAAATGGTATTAGAGCAACTCATACCTTAACTAAGCTAGTTGTGAAGTCAGCAATTGCACCTCACATGAGTTTGAAAGATGCTATTTCTTCTCCAACTTCAAGACTTTTCGTCCTCATCCTCTGATGGTTTTGTATCATTCTGATATTCAACATTGCCGTCACCATCTCTTCTGTGGCATTCAACATCACAAGTTTTTTGCTTTGTTGATAGTCATGGCAGCAATGTTATCCGTCTAAAAGAGTTTGTGTATTGGGACTATTACAAGGATAATGTCCAAAACGATTGCAAAAATGACGATGCACACTCCCAGTCTTGTATTCAGGAGTCTTTTGTTTATATCAAAGTGATTATAAACCCCCTTAACAAAAAGGATTGGAACTTATTTGACAAAGCTATTGATGCGCTTTAAGAATGTTGGATTCATGCTTGTCTTTTGCTTGTGAATTGAAACAAGTGTTGCTATTTCTACATAAATTTGGTTCTCAATTGAAGAAGTTAATGGTCTTAAGTTGTATTATCTGACATTGGTTAAGTTTACAGTTTCTTGTGGCCTTATATTCAATTTCACCTAGTATCATTGGGGTTTTAAGTTGGATATTTAACAATGTATCAGAGCTTGTGTTGTTTGTTGCTCTGTTTGTTATGTTAGTTGCTGCCCAATATTTGTTGTCCACATGGTAGGCCATTTATTTTAATTGTTAGTATAGGCTTTATGTATGAGGGGATAAGTGGTGTTGTTCCACATGATTCCATTTAAAGTTTGTTGTGGCATTATATTCAAGTTGCAATTCTCCATTATTGCCAATTTGTTTTAGGTTGGATGTGTAAGAAATGACATAATAAGTTACATATAAATTGATATCATTTTCAATCATTGGTAATTCATAGAGTTGGTTTTATCAGCTAATCCTTTAGTATCATTGTTTTCTGTTCATTGGTTCAACATACCTACTTAATTTATGCTAAAACTTGCCTTCTAATGTTCCTTGCAGGCAGGGGGTGCTTCAACACAAAGTCTTCTGGCTGCAGCAATGGCTAGCTTCCAAGAAGCTCTCAAGAACAGTGACTGGACAACACGTAAAGCTGCTTCTATGGCATTAGGGGAGATTGCTTCAAGTGGTGCATCTTTTTTGGGATCTTTCAGGGCATCCTCCATCCATTCCCTCGAGTCATGTCGTTTTGACAAGGTTAGCATTTTTTTAAGGATTTTTACTCTAGCGAATTTGCTCATGAATGATTGTACCAGATTTGCAAGGTTCTTCTTGTCTCTTATAGGTCAAACCAGTTAGGGACACAGTACTGCATGCCCTTCAGTACTGGAGAAGCGTTCCCGGGCTTGATACTTCTGAACCTTCTGAGGCTGGATCTTGTATAAAAGGTTTAGTGGCTGTTGCTCGTTACTCTTAATGTGTACATGATTTTAGCTGTTGAAATTTGTTTCAAATATTATGTTTATTTTAGGTGGCATTTGACTGTGAATAAAACTAGTTTCTTTCAGTTTTTGTGCTTTTGACTGTCAGGAAAGAAAATTAGTTTCATGATTGATAAACCACTAGCAAAATGGCTCTGTAAAACGTTTAGTGGCTGGTAGTCATTACTATCAATACATACAAGATGCTATCTATTCAATGCTATGCTTTTGTAGATGGAATTTGATTGTCTGATAAAACGAGTTCCCTTGAGTTTTTGTGCTTTTGGTTGTCGGAAAAGAAAATTATTTTCAGAAATGATTAGTAAACCACCAGCAAAATAGCTCCTGCCAATCTCACTGTAGAGATTTTTTTTGGGAAACATTGTGGAGAAGTTGGAATTGTTTTCCTTAAAATTTTTCTGGGAAAACATCTTCTAGAAAATTACAATCTTTTCACATGTCCTCAGTTTTTTTCTGGGTTAGTGTTATTTTGCATGTCTTTCTTGACAAGTGGATGGCATTAATAATTTGATATTCATTTGATCTTGGAGTAAACTCCTCAACAAAATTGATTTTTGAAATATTTTTTTTCCTATATTCAATCTGCTATGCCATGTTCAACTTCGAACTTTCAGAGTATGGTATGCTCCTACAATATGGAATAACAGCTACTACATGTGTACATTGGAGAATTTATGTATTTATACAATTTTGCACCCCTTCATACAGGATTCCATAATATTTTCACAGCTTCTTGGCTATTTGAACAGTGCATGCTCTTCATATGTGAGAGTATTGTCTACTGATTATATCCTTTCATCTGCTTATTTAGGTGGATAGCAAGAAAATACTAGGGACTGGTTGCTCATATCCCCTGTGATGGAAAACGAAATGGGAAAACTTGCATAATGAGAAAAGAAACTTGCTCCTAGGGATCTCATGCTGAGTCATTGTCTATAGTTGTATATGATTTAGGCATCTCAGTTGGTCTTTTTATCAGCTGTCTCTTTCAACACTTTTACTACTTCGCCTCTCTGAAGTTGGGCTGCTTACTCCAACTTCCTTTTTTTTTTTTCTTTCCACATTTTAAAGAAAAGTTGTGTTCTTAATGGTAAAATCGATTTTTCCTGCACTTTTTCTCTCTCTTCATTTAAAGGATGCAGTTTTAATCTTTTCTTATCAGAAATCCTTGTTTCCCTTTAGTGGTTAAGGCACCTATGTAATGGAGGGAAAAAACTTGTAATACCGTTTCACTTTTTTTGTTCCCTTTACTCTTCCCTATTCAGAATTTTAAGTTTGTTGCTATCTTTCTCAGTGAATTTCAAAAGTAGGAAGATGTGTTTTGCTAATGGTTCTATTGTTTCTCATTGAATGTTGTATTGCCTTCTTTGCTCTTTAATAGGTTGCATTAGATTGAATTGCAGTTTTTACATTGGCATAGTAACCCGTTTATGTTCATCTGAACGTTTGATTGCTTGCAGTAGTTGGAAAAATATGTCTGCTGTTAAGGATGACTGGCTTCCTTAACATTCAATAAATAGCATCTATAGATAGATCAGAAAGAAGTCTCTTTTTGTACTGAATTGGACTCTATTGATGCTGTCTTTCCCAGTAAATGTCAAATGTAGGAAGATGTGTTTTGCTGACAAGTCTATCTTTTCCTATTGATTATTATATTTCATTCTATGCTTGTTGTTAGGATATATTAGATTAAATTGCATTCATTACGTTGGCATAGTGATCGGTTATGTTTATCTGAACATTTGATTTCTTGCAATAGTTGGAACAATATGTCTTTTGTTAAGGATGATTGGCTTCCTTAACATTCAACAAATAGCAATTGTAGATGGGCCAGGAGAAGTCTCGATGTACGGAATGTTGATAGTTTAGAATGTGGTATCTCATATTAGATAGAAAGATTTAATTATTGATAAATATAATTAATTTTTGTATTAATTTTATTCATATTTTAAATAATTATGTTTGAATAAAAATAAGTATTATATGACAAATGGTTATAACGATTTGAATACAAATAGATTATTGTATCCTGAAGGTATAAATGCCTTTAAAAAAATGTTTTTCACGCCTCAAAGCCAAAATTCTTTTCTATTTTTCTATTCTCTTATTCATTTTTTCTTACACGGAATTGGACTCTATTGCTGTTATTGTTTCTATCAACATGAAAATTTCAATTCCGTGAATTCTGTTAAATATGATGTGGTGATATATGCTTATTACATTACTTGCCTCTTCCCTCTATTTTTTAAAAAATGCTCTTATTTATTTATTTGTACTTTATACAGAAAACTTTTGCGGAGGTGACTATAGTGATATCCCCTGTAACAATGACTCTGGTTGGAAGGATGCCACTGTGAAGAAAGTTGCTAAAAACTCAGCAATAAGAAGGATACCTTTGTCTGTTAGAAAGACATCTCAGAAATATGTTCAAAACCCTCAACATTGCAAAGAAGATGATTGGCATATTGAAATTGCTGTGTCAGAGAACCATAATGTTTCTTTACTAGACCTTCAGAATGAAGAATCCGAAGGCAGTACTGTCACCAAGACATTGGATAGAATGACGACTGGCACTACAAGTACACAAGACATAGGATATGAGTTTGTTCCAATGGATGACAAACAAGAATGTTCATCGGTGTCTAACCTTCTTAGTGACAACTTTGGGCCCAAGTTTCCCTCTGTTTCTCATGACCATATTGCTGAGGGAAGTTGGCTGAAGTCCCTGGAACAAAACCAGCAGTTTGCAGGAGAAGAGATTAGTAACGAGGAGGAAGATGTGTGCTCTGGAAAAATTAGGGACCGTAGAAGTCTTGATTCGGCAGTCACTGAAACAAGTCCAGAAACCGTCTCGATCTGTTGTTCACAGATCGAGTCTAAAATTGTTGGCATTCAGAAACAACTTTTAGAGATTGAGAGCAAGCAGTCCAACTTGATGGATCTTCTCCAGGTAAATCTTAATTGGGATATTGAATAGCTATATGATATATGTGCAATGCTTTATGCATTTTACTAACCAAATACAATCCCAATTAAATTCTAAAACAATTCTAGGCCATAAGATAAACTTTTTGGAGTTGAAGATTTATTCTTTTGCATAAAATGCTTGTTGCATGCAGATTTCAATTTCATCACCACGTAGGACCATGCTTGGCACATTTTCTATTCTTTGGGAATGTAAAGTTGAAATCTGGAGCTTCAGAGCCATTTATTATGTTGATTTTCTAGCTCTCTTTTGTATTTTTTCTTTTGCATCTTGGATGTTTTCTTTTCTATAAGAAATTGTGAGCTCCGTTAAGGAAGTAATACCTTGAGGACTCATTTGGTACATAGGAGAAGTGGATATGATAGTTCTTTTGATGCTCATTGTCTATTATTTTCTTAGAAGAATTTGAAAGTTTGTCGGGTAAGTTATTTACATAGTTATGATCATATATCCTATGGAGAGGGAGGAGAATTGATAATCCTACTCTTTTAGTATGCATGCACCAAAACAAGTTGCACCCAAGACGTTTACCCACAATTTCATGCTAGACATGTTGCCTGTATTTTAATAGAGGAATATGGAAGTTAGTTTGATTAGTTATTTTATATGGATATGGTTACAAAATCCTATGGAGAGGGAGAAGATTAGATAATCCTTACATGGATAGGACTGTGAAAAATAATATGAGAACATTTTTATGCATGCACCATAATAGATAAAAAAGGACAATTTACTCATCCATCTTGTCTCATCCTATTCTATCCTTTCGGTAATCCTAGGTGCCGAGGCAAACTGAGCGCTATATCATGTTATCTAAAACACTGGGTTTTTGAATTTTTTAATTCTATGTTTAAAAAAGTATTCTTCCATTAGTAATTGCTTGAAAACGGGTATCAACCTTTTTCCTTCCAAAGATAATTTAATTTCTCCATCTGCTTTATTATATTATGAATTTTATTTTATTTTAGGTATTTTCAACTGGTATAATGGATAGCCTGTCCATGCTACAGTCAAAGGTCTTAGGTTTAGAAAATGTAGTAGATAGAATGGCGCAAGACTTCATGCAGGGAGGGAAGCATCATGATTTGGTAAGCTCCAGAGTTATGAAGCAGGGCGAAGTTGTTTTATCTCCCAGGCTGTCGTCTTGCACTCCGAGGCCTTCTGTAGATATACGTAACAGACGGCCTTCTTTGTTGTCTGTTAAGAATTCTGATGTATGGGAGGAAAAAGCACTTGGTAGAAATAGGTCAGCCAATTGTGCGAAGCAGGGTATAGAGATGTGGACTAATCATACAGTAAAAATTTGTAGAAATCCTACTGGGAAGGATGTGCACAAAAGCTCTGGGCAGGGGGCACAAGGCATTGGGCAGATCAGAAAAAATGAAGCTGCCTCTACCTCTGCTTCTGTTCCAAATGTGAGTGGCAGACAGAAGTATCCTGACAGTAAAAATGGTCTGTGGCAACATGTGAAAAGTCTTTTATGCCAAGGGGATCTAGACTCTGCGTATGCAGAAGCTCTCTCTGCTGGTAACGAGCTTGTCCTCATTGAGCTTCTTGATAGAACTGGTCCCGTTCTAGAAAGTTTATCCCACAAGACTGTATGTGATATTCTCAGTACTTTGGCATCATACCTCCTCGAACAGAGATTTATGAATTGTATTATTCCATGGCTGCAGCAGGTAAGTTACCAATCAGACTCTTACTGTTTTGCTCAGACTCTTAGTATTTGTGATCTATATATGTAGCGTATCACAATTTAGGGGATGGTAGATGTATATATTTCTGTTTCTTTGAGATATCTAGTAGAACCTAAAGCACTAGTGTCCAACATACCTTGCTTTATCTCTTGATTGCCTAGGCAGTATTAACTTTGTGTATACTGTTCAAGGGTAACTACTGTTGTACATGGTTGTTTTCTATATTTTCTCTAATGTTTCTTAAAGTTCTATCATTTTATTAATTGCCCCTCTAATTTTTTCCATGTTTTACCTCAAATGGTACTGCTGCAGCTTAAAACTTCCTTTTAAACATATTTCTTCTCTTGGTTTAACGTTCAACGTATTACCCTACAACAAACAGTGCTGCTGTAGGAAATACCATCAACCATCACAAATGATTTTTCATAATTTTAAGAGTTCAAATCTACCCTATTCTGGAAAAAATCATAAAAGTTATGGTGATAGGTCAAATGCTCTTGCCCTTTTCTTTGGAACAATTTGGATGAACTTGACTCGTGCCTGGGAGATGTTTATAACTCATTTTAGATAGGCGTCATTTCCATGTTTTCAAGCAATATTTTTAACCCTCTTTGATCCTTGGTTTTCAGGTGGTTGACTTGAGCGCTATCCATGGACCAAATCACCTTATTCTCTCTGCAAAAGCAAGAAGGGAGCTGTTATCTGCAATTCAGGAGGCAATGAACATGGACTTTTCGAACCCTGCTGAAAGAAGATCAATCACTCAACTGGCAATGAGGTTCCGCCAAGTATGGGGTAAGGAAATATGCTTGCCTTTGATTTCATTTGTCACCTCTGGCTAGTTATAATCCTTAGTTTGCTGAACCTACTCCAACCAACCCTCCCACCCAAAAAAGAACAGAGAAAAAAGTTAAAAAAAAAAAGAAAAGGCAAATCACGTAAGGGATTTGAGAGGACTCTAAAATCTCAAAGTTTATAACTGTGCTAGAGCTTGAATTTGTATCCTCAAGTAAGACTTGAAATTTATGTCTTTCAAAATTCAAAGTTATCTTCATAATTTCTTGGTGACTTAACATTGTAATGTTCTATTTGTACTTGCAATAGTCTTTCTTTTCACTTCAAGATTTTCTGAACGCATGTCAATGTCTTGATGTTCACTCAGGGCTTGCGTAGATATTTCTGTTATTTGTTTGACTGTTGACTGATAAAAGGATGAAATGTGAAATTATTTAAAAGTTACTAGATGGACTGATTTCCTTTAAGCATCCTTAGGGAAAGTTTTAGAAACAAACTGTTTATTTTCTTCAATTCCAACCAAAAGAGCATCATGTATGCTGTGTAAATGCGTAATTTAGTGTCATCTGTGGTTGAAGTTCCTTTCCAGTTATGACCAAAATGTTCTTCATTCTAAATGTATAATCCGGTATGCTACTGGTTGGTATGGTTATGGCTATTGGCTACTAGGATCAGGTGTGAAATTATGTTGGGACTGAACTTTTCTATGACCATGAACGCTTATTATTTCCCTGAAACTGTCTGTTACTATCTGATAGGCTATCACGCAAACTATATTTATTATGAGTTCAAACACTTTCGAAAACGATTTTACTAACTTATTCACGAGTGGAGTTTCCTACCAAGTTTGTGACTTTTGTGAAAATATTTGGACTCAATATTTTTATATTCCAACTCAATTTGTGAAAATATTTTATTATTAAGTAATTATCTTTTATTTAATTTTATTTTTAAAATATACTTTTAAATGTTAAAATATTAAAAATAATATTTTTAATATTTTAATAATAAATTTAAATTAAATGATCTTAAAATAAATTTTGTTAGAAGAATTAGATTTTGGACCAATGTTTAGAAGTATCAACTGACTCGACTGGATTTGATTTGATTTATGGACATGTTTAGTTTTAAAAGAGTTACTTTATTGTGTTGCAATTTGAAAGAGTACTAATTTTTTCCTTTTATTATTCTTTCTGAACTTTAACAGGAAAATGTTCATAGTTATCAGATGGTTGAAAGAAAAGTTATCTGCAGATTCGGATATTTGGAAGAACATCTTTAGGCAGAATATGTTATTTTGGAAATATATTACTTATAATTATTGTAATATAGTTAATTAATTATAATTTAATATTATATAAAGTTTATAAAAAATTATTTAAAATTTATATTTTTAAATGATAAATTTTTATATAATTTTTTATTATAATTAAGTGTGAGTAAATTATCAGTTTGATCGATTAGATTTGAAAAAATTAATAATCGATTTAATTGATTTTTATTTAATAAATAATCGAATTGATTGAATATTATTTAATAACTGATTATAATCGAATCGATTAAAATCAGTTTGGTTCGATTGGTTCAATAAAATAACTGATTTTTTTTTTTATTATAAATAATTATTTAATTACAAATTCAATTCAATAAAATTTAAACTTTAATATTATTTAAATTAAATTATTAAAGAATTTAATAATTTCAACAATATTTTATAAAAAAATAAATAAAATATTTATTTCAATTTTTTTATTTTTAATTATTAAAAAATTGATTAATTCGATTAATGTGGTTATTAATTTTAAAAATAAAAAAATTGATAGAATTAATTAATTTAATTAATTTAAAAATTTAATTATAACTAAAATCGAATAAATTAAATCAATTTAATCAAATTCATTCGATTTTGATTAATCTAATTGATTCAAATCGATTTTTCCTCTATCGTAATTGATTAATTAGAGTATTATAATAAAAATAATTATAACTGATATGCTAAGTTGTCTCGGCCCTCGTCCTCACTGTTTTTGCCTGACACGTGGCTGTAGAGCGGTCCATCCACCATCCTTAGGAAATACCCTTCAATTCTTTATTCGAGGAACTTCCGTGCCATGTTTTTTTACTGCAGTACTGTAATGTGTCGACTGTTTGGCTTGTTAAAATTTTGTTACCAGGGATGATTAGCTTGGTAAGGCAAATTTCAATTATAACAATCAAATCTGTGGAGTTATGCGCCAAGTATTTTTCTCGTTGCTATCGAATTTCTTTTTCTTTTTTCATATAAATATATATACAAACATATATACACATATATATATATATATATACATGCTCAGTAAAGATAATTTAATGTTTTAAAAATAAAAATGTAAATTTTTGTGAAAAATAAAATAAATATTTTTAGTAATTTTGTTTTCATCCTTTATTTTTAATTGATTATAATTTTACATTTTATATTTGCCTTACGCTCGTGGATAAAGTGTATTTGTAATCTGAACTTTTTATTTAGGTTTTATTTTGATTTTTAACTTTTGATTTGTTTCGTAATAATTCTAAATCTTTTTAAATGGTGTCAATAAGTTCTTTAATCAAATTTTGCTTAAAAATAAGAGAGAATTACAACTTAAGTTAATAAATTTAAAATTATTATTATTTGTTATCATATTAAAATATATTTATTAGAAAATAAATAAAATTTTTAAAATTTTAAGAATGAAATAGAACCATAATTTTGTCTTTGATTTTCAAAATTCAACTTAAAATTAATTTTTTAGCTTTATTTTTAATGGGATTTAATTTTATATTTTTATTAAAATTTGTAAGTTTGAAGTGCAAGTGTCACGATCCTGAAGTGAAGTCAAAAATCTCATATCGATTGTGTACTAAAATTAATTATAGGATATAAGGGTTCACACATTTTTTTCATTGTGAGGTCTCTTTTGTGGGACAAAATCGTAAGGTCATAGAGGTCATAACGGATAATACTTCACAAAAGTGTGAATTGTAATATATAAGTTGATCTGAAACATCGAATGAGTGCATATCCAGATTCTTAAGTTGCGCGAGCTTGAACGTTGAGTTTCGACTCATAACACAGTCACTTAGCTCATTCTTCCAAATGGGGTGTAAATATAGAGCACGTAGGTGAAAGGAGCGAGTTTGTTGAGATATTGTGACTCATTTTTGAGTAACTTACACATTTTGGTTGATTGTTATTAGTAATGATGTAATTGAGTCGAGTCTAGCCAATACAGTGAGAAACTCGAGCTCGACTCCCAACTAACGAATCGATACTCGATCGAGTTTTATTTTTTTAGCTCGACTCAATTTATGATCGAAATTAAGCTACTCGAACTCGCTCGATTAATATATAAAAATAAGCTTGATTTGTATACTCGATAAGAGTTTGATTATTTATGTTCGAATTTGAGATATTTTATTAATTAAAATAATAAAAATATATTTAAATATAAAAGTTCGATTAGGCTTGCGAGCTACTCAAATTGAGTATAAAAATACTTGAACTCGGTTCGATCGATGAGTCGAGCTACTCGAGTTTGAACTTAATTTGATAATAATCGAACTGAATTCGAGTTTTATTCAAATTGAATTTGAGTAACTTACGAGTACTAATGTATTATTTATATCCTAATTATTAGTTCACTTTAGAAGGTTTATTTCCACACCAGCGTCCGACCTCTGTTTCAGTTTAAGGCTTACCCTAGACTAAGCAAATTAAAAAGAAGCAATCAATGCATTCATAATAGTGAGAGAAGAGAAAACGCAAGAGAGAGAAGAGCGTGAGAAATATCGGGGTTACCCAAGCAATTAATGAGGTTTTAATTAGTTGTAGGGTTACTTCTTGAGTGAATATGAGGTAGGGATTTATAAGGTGGGTTTTGTATACCTTTGATCTTATTGGATTCAAACGTCTCCTAATCCTTACCGTGGACATGGGTAATTCGATATATACCGGTTCAGCCACATGAATCTCATTGTCTCTCTTATCTATTTTGTTATTTCTATTGGTTGTTTGTTTGTGTTGTATCTGGTTGTTAATTGATTGAGTTCAGAAAATCCAACATTGATGCTTAGATGATCTGCATTAGTTCAGCTGCTTCTAATTCTATGCGTCACTTATGTCGTCTGACGTTGTATAAAACCTTTAGCCTTTAACCTTTCAACCTTCCCTTCCCTTCCCTAAAACTTTTTAACCTTAATTATGCCTTCCAATCCTAAAATCTTTAACCTTAAAAGCGTTCCTTATAATCTTATTTGATTTAGTTATTTTAAATTTTTATAAAATAAAAATAAATATTTTTTATATAAACTTATTTAAATATATTAAAAATTACATTAAAATAATATAAAAATATTTTTAAAATTTAATGAATAGAATCAAATTGATAAATTTTGATTTGAATCAAATTGATTTAAAAAAAATCCGTTTGAATTCAGATTAATTTTTAAAAAATGTAACACTCTCCATTGATAAAAAATAATAGAACTGAATTGTTGTCACCCCTGGTATTGAGTCACAGAAAGGGTGATAGTGTAATTACAATAGTGGAAATAATTAAATTCGCTTTTCTCCTTCGTACTTGTTAGCGTAAGTATTGAAGTTTTTATGTTAAGGTAATAATTTAAGTTTTGCATGCCATATATTCAAGTTAGTTGGTCAGTACCCAATCATCATTTTCTTGTTCTGCCTATTTGAATCGCTACGTACAGAAAAGGAAAGAAAAGAAATGTGGAAGCTTAAGCTTTCTGAGGGGAACGAACCCTGGCTTGCAAGCGTGAACAATCATATCGGCAGACAGTATTGGGAGTTTGATCCTAATCTTGGTACGCCTGCAGAGCGGGCTCAAGTCAAAAAGTTTCGGAATCAGTTCACCAACAATCGGTTTCAAACAAAGCAAAGCTCTGATCTGCTAATGAGATTTCAGGTACTAAATTAATTTGGAAATATTGTCCGAACAAATCAAATGTAAATTCCTTTTCTTTTTCTTTGGATATGTATCAAAGCTTATATGCAATTAAAATTCCCGTAGATCATTTAATTTTGTTTTTGATAGTTTGCAAGGGAGAATTCATCAGCTGAGCTTCCTGCTAAGCTCAACGTTACAAAAAGCGAACATACTCCAAGCGTAGAGACGGTGAGGACAACATTAAGAAGGGCTCTCAGATTCTATTCAAGTTTGCAAGCCCAGGATGGGTTCTGGCCTGGTGACTATGGTGGCCCCTTATTTCTTCTTCCAGGATTGGTAACGTCATCTTATTCTTAAAAACTTTTTTTTAGTATAGGTATAAATTCCAATTACAATGAAAGATTATTTTTTTAATATATATCAATAAACAAAATTAATAAAAAAATTAACATAAAATTAAATTAAATCTACTTATGATGAAACCCGAAATCTAAAAGTTTCATGATTTTTTTTTTTTTAATCATTTGAACTACGTCTTATCAACTCTTACAAACTATTCTTAAAACATCATGTGGTAAAACAAAGTACTTGGGAGGTAAATTGAAGAAAACATTTTTACTTTTAATACAACAGTTAAATTATGTGAATGTCAAACGAAATTGATTACTTAATGTGATACATTTTCCAATTAAAAATTAAAACTTTTAAAATAAAAAATACACTAAAATCATTCTATCCTATATCTTCCCTAAAAGTCAAACAATAACAAACAGTTAAAAGTTAGCTGTGAAGGTATCAAAACTGGTAATTACAAAGAATGAAAGAAGCCAAGCTTTAGTTTTCAGGTCCTCACTTTAAATCATATAAAATCTGATACGTATCAGACGATGGTCCCGCTACCACCTGCTCTTTGGCGTTCATTGTTTCGTACATATTATCATTGCAGTCATGCTCAACTCAGTTGATTAAATGTTTTCTTTCCTTCTTCTTCGTCTATCAATTGCATCAATTTTAATTTCTTTTGATAGAGATTGATTGCACTTCTCATTAGTTTATCAGCTAAAAGAAGCCAAGCTTTTCATTTTAAAGGACTACCCAAACGCTTTAAATATTAATTCAAGGAAAACGAAAATTGATAAAATATCCTTTTCATAAAAATGGTCCCAATTTGTATTTAAACTCCCAAATAATACAAATGCACCGTCCTTTTTCTCTCTCTTCTCGCCATTGATAGGATATTCAACTATTATATATATATATATATATATATATGAATAGGATTTAAGTTATATTGATGTAAAAAATATCAGTTTTACATTTTTTATAATTTCATTTATGATTAAAAATTTTATATAATAATTGTTAGATTTAACAATCTATTAAAATTTCATGGACATACATAAAGTGCTTTAAGTCAATCCAATATTCAGATCAATTCGATATGAATAATGTAAAAAAATTCATTTGTATCGATGTAAAATTAATTAAGTTTTACATATTTTTATATATTTTTTTATAATTTGTGTCTTATTAATTTAATTGTTGAATTTCATTTTCTATTTACGTAATTGACATAAATTGTGTATATCAAATTTTATTTTTTATTTGACACTCCTATTGGATCACCAAATTTTAATTTTTCTTATCCCTACTCAATAAAGTTTGTTAAGTATATCAAAATGGATCATTCTGACAAATTTCATCCAAATTTTAATAGAAAAATAACATGATTGCCACATCATTTGCCACATTAGTTAACTAAACTCATAAATTTTATAAAAGGTCATTAAATTTTAATCCAATTTTCAAATAAATCATCAAATTTTAATTTATCATTATAAAATCACTAAAATTTATTAAGTATAACAAATTTAGTCATTTTAATAAATTTTATATTACAATCCTTAGTCATTAATCCCATTTACGGTAATAATTACTAACTTTTTTTCATCAGTTTTCTTTAAATGGATAAAATCCAAACAATTACATACTGATTTTGAGAATTCCAAAAGGGTAAATCATAAAATAAAAATTTTGATAAATGTTAGATACTAAAAATGAGAATTTAAAACTATTGAAACATTAAACTTAACTCTAAAGGGATTAATACAAATTTCATTTATTTGGTAGGTGATTGGGTTGTTTGTAACCGGAGCTCTAGAGATCATTTTGCCCTCGGAGCATCGACGGGAGATATGCCGCTATCTATACAATCATCAGGTTTTTTTTTAATAATATTTTTTATGTTACATAATTAAACTCTCGTAGATTATAATATTTTTTTATTGATATATATATTCTTATTTATTCTTTAGCATATTTCTCCATTAAAACTAAGAGTGCACACATTAATTAATTAGTACATATATATTTGAAATGATTAAATAACTCAATTCATTAATTACAATTATATAATTATGCATTATCAAAAATAATATATAGTATATATTCATATATATTTTTTTAAGTTACAATCATGATAAATAATTCCTGTTACATTCATGTATATAATCAACTAAATAATAAATTATTATATTATAATTAAATTACAATCACTTAATAATTAACTAACAAACTAAAACATAACTAAAATAACCAAACTCACACACCTAAAATCCCAGGGTTTTTAAATGTTTCTTAAATTAATTATCAAATGTGAGTTTGTTTTGTTTGCAAATTCGGCTAACAACATAAAAGTGTATTGCAGAATAAAGATGGAGGTTGGGGATTGCACATAGAAGGGGAGAGCACAATGTTTGGCACCGCGCTCTCGTACGTCGCTCTAAGATTGCTGGGAGAAAGAAAGGATGGTGGAGATGGTGCCATTAAGAAAGCAAGAAAATGGATTCTTAAACATGGTGGACTCACCTTCATTCCGTCATGGGGCAAGATGTGGCTTTCAGTACGTATTTTCTCATTCTCACCCCTGCCACCAAACGAACACACACTTACGCATATATAAGAATTTTTTAGTTACATGGAAATCATAGTTCTCCTTTCTTTTATAAATCACGTTCCCTGCATCGAACAATTCGAACCCTTCCCAAAACTCCTAACTAATGACTCATGCTCTGATTCTAACCACAAAAACCACATGTTAATTAGAAACATTGTGGAAGGCACTGATAGCAGTGGGCAGTTCATTATTCAGATGCTCGACCAGATTAAAACCAATTAGAGCAGTTTTAGATATGAATAGGGTTTGCAGAAGTAAATTACAATACATATCTATAATTTTTTTTGCAATGTATATAATATTTTTAAATTTTAATTTTTCTATCACAATTTTTTAAAATATTTCAAATTCATCCATTTTCATACCAATATTAAAATATGATAGAACTGTCATGTTAGCGTCACATGGACATTCAAGTGTTTCTCTACGTGATAAAGAAGGTAGGCCCTTTCGATTTTTGGATTGGAATTTATGCCACATAAATGTTCATGTAGTATTAACGTGACATATTTTGTTGAATTTTTAACCGTAAGTGATGGATTTGAATATTTTTAAAACATCGTGAATTTAAAATTTAAAAGCTTTCAGATGAAAAATAAAATAATACATAAAAATCACATATAATTAATATATTTTTACTCATATTTTTTTAGTGAAAATGATAATAATTATGGTTTCAGATTGGATTTTGATTTAGAGATTTATTAGGCTACCCACTAGCCAAAACCCAAATAATATTACTCGGTTTTGGCTGGTAACAAGACTCACTTTTAATGAATAAAGAATCTCAAAAAATAAAAAGTTTAACGAATAAAGAAAACTTGAATTCTCTGTAAACTACAAGGTTCAAACTCCTTCAATCCAAATTTACTCTTAACGCTAATTAACCGACCAATCAGAGTTACTATTTTGTTGTTTGTATTTGTAGGAAAAAAAATTGGTGCTGATATTTCTTTTTCTCGTTTAATTTTTTTTTTAAACTTTCATATTTGAGTTTCATTGATGAGTTTCCTTGGTTTTTTTTTTTTATTTTTTATACATATGTAATGTTTATATTGTTGCTTGTCATATATTTATTATTCAAAAAAATCCCACCTATTGTGATTTCAATTTTTCTACATAATATTATGTGATTTGTTTTTTCTTTTCTCCATTAGCATCCTGTGATTAAGTAAAAATAGTCTAAAAAAGACACTAGTTAGAAACTATGAATTTATGAATTTAAGAGAGACAAAAGCTTCTAAATTACAAAAAACGTAATGCAAGTAATAAGAGATAATATAAAGATTAAAAAAATAAATGAAAAAGTTATTTTTGATAAAAATAAGTGGCACAAAAAAATTCAAAATTATGATCTAACATGATTTTTTTTTTTTTTTGGCTTTTCATATAGCATTATATCATACTTGTTCCCTCTTAAAAGTATTTTCTAAATTTTTTTTATGAATATAATGTTGTAATCCCCTTCGCGAAAATAATTTATTCATATGTGCTAGTTGAGAAAAAATTACAAGATTTTTAGTGATTAGGATCTAAATTTCAACAATCTCAAATATACATAAAAAAAAGTTAAAATCACAAAGGATCTAATGAAATTTACCTATTTTTGTTTGCTTATTTGTTTAGTACCAATAAGTGGTATCCTTTTGTGCCCTTTCTAGGAATGGAGGGTGGAGAAATAAGGATGATAAAAAAAATCAAAACAATAAAAAATTAATTTAAAATCGTAGTGTTTGGTTTGGTTTGGATATGTATTTTTCCCATTCGAATCGGATTCATTTTAGATATTAAATGTATATATTAGGTTTAGATTAAATTTCATATCGGAAGGTGAAATAAAAAAAAAGAATCGAACCGAATTATATTTTTATTAATTTTTATATATATTTTAAATTTTTATAAAATAATAATAATTTTATATCAAAATCTATTTAAATATATTAATATTTTATATTAAAATATTAAATAAAAATAAAAATAAATTTAAAAAACTGATAAATTGAACTAAATCAAACTAACAGAGACATATGTATATAGTAGGGGCAGCTGCCCTTACTAAGTTCTTAAACTTTTTTTAGGTTTATTGAAAAAAAAAACTCAAAAGTGTTAAAAATTTAAAATTTGCCCCCACTAAGATTATTTTTATCAAATTTACCCCCATTAAATTAAGGCTCATACAAGAAAATATTAAATTTTTGTCTAGTAATTGACATTGATCCTTTGGATGTTAAACAATTGTGTTATAATATATATTTATATATATAAGTTCGTAAAACTAAATAGTTTTAGTTTGAAATTATTAAATTTCAAATTCTTCATAATAATTTAAGGTTGATGTGAAGTGATCTTATAAGTTTAGTGAAACTTAGGGCTTGTATTATTTAAATGGTTTTAACCACTTATTTAACACAGAAAAGTAACATATAAAATGTGAAGTAATTAAAAAACTCATTTAAATTTAAATTTTCAAATTTCTTTTCATTGTATGTAAGAAAAGAGACATTTTTATTTTTCAAATTATAATGAATAAAAAATAAAATATGTTGTTTATTTAAAGAAAATGATAAAACTAGACATATTAAAAGTGAATAATAAAACTAGATATGTTAATTTTTATATTATACTTTCACATATTATATTTATCTTTAAGAAGTTTATAAGTAAAATTTTATTAAATTAATACGTGTTTTTATATTGAAAGTTGATTTATCTAAATAGTGTTTAGGCTATAGGGTTAATTTCAGAAATATATCCTATGGTTAAGGTCGAAATGAAAATGGCTCATAAGATTTAAAATGTGACACTTAATTACCCTATAATTTATTGATTTGTTTTTTTCTTCAAAACTGTTACTTTTAATTTTTTTATTTTTATTTTTTCTTTATCTCAATTTATATTCTTTCTCTCTAAAATCAAATCAATTTTCTCTCTAATCTCTTTTTAACAAAACTAAACCCTCTGAGCTGTCTCTAACTTCTCTCTACCAGCTTTAAACTCAAGAACAAAAACAAGAAATTAGTTAAAAATTATCACCTGCTTTCTTCTTTGTGTGGTGTCGTTCTCTTTTTCCTTATCTACCTAATTTCCAGCAAAAGCTCAATATCTAATAAAAGATGCTATTACATTTTTCTATATTTGAACACTCCAAGATACAGATAAAAACCTAAAACTTTTCAAATCGCCATTGCCACTATTCACCATTCAAGAACCCTAAAACAATATTTTTTATTCGATTTCAAAACCCCAAAAAGAAGAGCCCCACAACTGAAGAAATACCAAAAACTCTTATAATGCAAACTTTTTATTTTGTTTTTTATTTTTTCTATTGGTGTTTAATTTGTGTCTATGATTCCTTGCCTGTAGGTGATTGTTAATTTTGCACTATCGAATGCATCTTTTCTGAGTTTGTTTAATTGCCGATTCTGGATTCATTGATTGTTGATTTGTGTTAGAGCTTTGTTGGTAGATTCTTTGCTATTTGTTTTATAGATTTTGGCTTTGAATTACTTGTTGGTTTTTTTTTTTTGGGTTGTTCAATTTGGATGCCAAAATTTCTTTTCTTTTAGTTCTATGCTTGTCTGCGTTTTGTCTTTATTTGCTCAATTGTCTGGGTTTTGTAGAATAAAAAATACTGTTTGTTGGGAATGGCTTTTGATTGAGTTTTTAGATTGGCAAATTCATTTTCTTTTTAAAACCAAATCAATTCTCTAAAACCCAACCAAACAAAACTATTAGAGAGAGAATTGATTGATTTTAAAGAGAGAGAATGAATTTTTAGAGAGAGAAAATAAATTGAGATGAAGAAGAAAGAAAAAAAAAAAAAGAAAAAAAGTGAAAAAGTAACAGTTTTGAAGAAAAAATAAATTAACAAATCATAAGGTAATTAAGTGTTACGTTTTAAACTTCAAGAGACACTTTCATTTTGGCCTTAATTATAGGATATATTTATGAAATTAACCTTTAATTTTAATTATACAAACATTATTTTTATGGCAAAATTTTTTTTTCACATACAGAAAATATGTTATACATCTTAGTTTTATTTGTAATTTTTTATATTAATTTGTATTTCAATAAAAAATTTTAAAGTTAATTTAAAATATTTGTTTCCATTAATCATAAATTCTGGATCTATCCTTATGAGCTAGTAAAATTTGATTCAGATAAAATAGTATAAAGAATAAGTTTAGATTCTAATCAAATTTTAAAAATTCATAATATTATATAATATATAAAAAATTAAATCAAATTCAATTTGATCTAAACTATTTTCATTCTTATGAAATAATACTGAATACATAAATATTATTACTCATAACGCTGCTGCGTTCGTGTTTGTAGGTGCTGGGAATATATGAGTGGAGTGGCAACAATGCATTACTCCCTGAATTCTGGCTTCTTCCTTACTTTCTTCCCATTCATCCAGGTTAAATATTTGTGACCTTAAATGTCTGTGTTTATCGTAATTCTCATCGTCGTCGTCATCATCATCATCGCAATTTTTAAATTAAGTATCCTTTTGACATGATATTAAGATTTGTTTTAGTGAAATTAAAAATAATAATAATTGTGATTGGAGCTAGAATGATGAGATTAAAATCATCAATGCAAGACATGCATGTTTATTAAAAATAAAATGACGGTGAGGCGAAAAATGATGAAAAAAAATATTTTTTTAAAAAAATTAATCTCAAAATACGTGGATAAATTATTTTATATATTTTTTGTTTTAGTTTACATTTAAAATCTTAAAAAATGCCTACTTGTACTTTCCCACGATGTAAAAAATGGAGTCTAACTTGTGAGTTGGATGGTTAAAATTAAACTAGTTAACTTAAAATTTATAATTATAACATCTATAACATTGTACTAAAGTAGAGTCTAACATTATACTGTTATTAAGTCTCTTAATTAACTCCTAATTTTGACTTTTGTTAAAATGAAAATTGATACGTAGGACGGATGTGGTGTCACAGTCGTATGGTGTATCTGCCAATGTCATATTTATATGGGAAGAAGTTTGTGGGGCCAATCAATTCCCTGGTTTTGTCACTGCGAAGAGAACTCTATACCCTTCCTTATCACCTCATTGACTGGAACCAAGCCAGAAATCAATGTGCCAAGGTAATTTATTTATTTATTAATTGTAGCTATTATATCCACACAACTAATTCCAACCATTTGCAAAACTAGTTTTTAAACCTCCTATCAATTAGTTTTTCTGAAATTGTTAAATTAATTTTAAACCAAATTCATTCCATGTGTAATTGCAATAAAAATTTTATTAATTGCTTTATTTTAAATAACGTTTTCAACTTAATGTGTTGGCTTATTGTAGAAAGCATACGTTAGGCTTGAAAATTATATTATATTATAGGAATAGATTATTACTCTTTTGAGAATATAAAACTGAGGTTAGAAATAAAAATATTTATTATATCATGGTTTGGTTTTATTCGTAAAATAAATATAGTAGAGTATAAATATTATTGCGATTTTAAATTTATGGCAAATAAAAGAATAAACGATTACGTAATGAATCAGAACAAGAATGGTCTAACAAGCGGTTTTGGCTTTCCCTTTTCTTTTTTTTTTTTCTGAAAAGTTCCCTGTACTGTAGTTAAACCAACTTTTAGTAAAATATAATATATAATTAAAATTGATCCTTTGGTAAACAATTTTGCAGGAAGACTTATATTATCCACGTCCCATGATACAAAAAATATTATGGGATTGTCTTCAAAAGGTAGGAGAGCCTGCTCTAATTAAATGGCCATTCTCTAAGCTAAGAAAAAAGGCTCTCGACATTGTGATGCAACATATCCACTATGAGGATGAAAATACTCGTTATATTTGCCTTGGCCCTGTGAATAAGGTATTGCTCCACCGGTCATATATTTATTTATTTATATGACAAAGATTAATTTACAAGCTGTAAAATTAAAAAAATTTTACATATTTTTTAATCATTGATTTTAATATAACCAAAAGAAGAGAGGGAAAAGTAAAAATAAAAAAAAAAAAATTATTTAGTCTCATTCATTAGATCTATTGAAATTAATAATTAAAAAAAAGTGTAAAACTAAAAATATTTTACACTTTGTAAGTTGATACTCTCTCTCTCTCTCTCTCTCTCTCTCTTCTATATATATATATAACAGTTCATAATATATTTTCATTAATATGAGAGTTAATAATATTGGTGATTCTTAATTTAAATTTTTTTTTGATTTCTAAGTTTTAAAAAGTTTTAATTGAATTTTAATTGTTTAAAGTTGTTTTAATTTGGTTATTTCGTTATGGAACCGTTGAAATTTATAATAAATGTCAGCACGTGTATGGAGGCAAATGGAGGGACTCAAATAAAATTTTGCTCAAAGTTTAGGAACCAAGAATACTACAATCTCAATTTTTTATTATAAAATATTAGATTTAAAATAATGTTTTTATATTTTTATTGTAATATATTTTGTTAGTTAAATATTTTTTGTTTTTATAAAAAATAAATATTCAAAAATTAAAATTAATTTAAAATTTTAAAAATCTTTGTGAAAAAATTCCTTATTATTTTAAAATAAAAACCTGTTTTATATTAAAAAATTATTTTATTAATAAATCATATTAGAAAATATTGATTTCTATAAAAATTTTATTTTCTATTAAAAATATTAAATATTTTTTCTTTTCCTATTTCTAATATTTTATAAAGAAGATAAAAGGATAAAAAGATCCATAAAAATAATTAAAGAAAAAAAGTTGATTTTTTACATTTCATATATTTTATAAAATATTATAATTTAAAATAATTTTTATTTTTTATTATGATATAATTTATCAGTAAAATACTATTTTTAATAGAAAATATATTTGAAGAAAATTAAAACTTAGTGAAAACATTGAAAATTCTTTTAGAAAAAATTTTATCATTTTAAAAAATTAAATAAAAATTTCTATATCGATTTAAGAAATTAAATAAAAAACCCCATCTCATTTTAAAATATTAATTAAGTAAAAAATATCATATCATTTAAAAAATGGATTTATTAATCGACTTTTTAATCTAAAAATTTATTTTGAATATATTTTTATTAAAAAATTTATATTATATAAAATAAAAAAATATTATTTAAATATTATTTCAATAACTTAGTTTCTTCCCCTTTTCGGATTAGAGAAAGTAAGGGTTGTTGTAATTGTCTATTAAAATTTTCTATAAATATAAAATTTTAATAAAAAATAGATTCAAAATAATTTTTCAAAAAGAAAAATATTATGAATAGATTAATAAATCAAATTTTAAAATGATTTGAAAAAATTTACCTAATATTTTAAAAAATATGAAGTTTTTTTTAAATTTTTTTAAACCTATATAAAAAATTTTATTTTATTTTTTTAAATGATTTTTTTCACCAGATATTAGAAAATTTATATATAATTTCAATTCTTGGAAACCTATTTTCTATTAAAAATAAAAAATTAAAAAAATAAAATATATTGTAATTAAAAGATTATACAATATTATTTTAAAATTAATATTTTATAAAATATATCTAAAATATAAAAAAATTAGATAATAACATCCTTGGTTTCTAAACTTTGAGTGAAATTTTATTTTTGTTTCTCCACTAATCACATGAGATGTCAATTATGTCATTCATGTGCCATTCATGTAATACCAACTATTATTTATCATCATTTTAAACGATTTCATAGATGAAATGATCAAAATAAAATAACTTTGAATAATTGATGATCTAATTAGAATTTTTTTAAAAAATTATAGACCAAAATAAAATTTGACTAAAAATTTAAAAACTACATATATTAGTTACCCTGAAATAAGAGATAGGACAATACCAATATCTCATCCCTGAAACATCATAGTCGAAACACAAAGCAGAGTCATAATTGAAAAGGTTTTACATCCAAGCCTAAAATATCTGATATGTCCACACACAATTTCGTAATAGATCTCTAGTGTGATAGAAAGGTCTCAACCTCATTCGAGTTTTGTTCACCAAGAGGGCCATAAAATATTTCACGAAAATCCCCATGTGAGTCTCTTACAAAACATCTCCACAACTGACAGAGCCAAGTTAGCGTCACGCCGAACCATGAACATTGAATGTTAGGTCATTCTTACTCCAAAAAATCCATTGAACCCCTGCTCTTGGATTAGTAACTAGAACAACCGATTCCTTAGGCTTTGACCACCACATATCTTCAATTATCAAAGCTCTACACGACATTGCTTTGACCAAAAAAAAGTGGTCTAAACTTTACTAATATCAGAATTATCTCACCATCCCATCTTTTCTCATTAAAAAACTGAAAATCCCCAAAAAAGAACCCCTGCACATTGACTGATGAAATGCTTAACAAGATAATGGATCACCCATTTCAAACCCCACAATTTAAAAACATGCCACCAAATAATCCAAGAGCAAAGACAAGAATGGGGATAACAATATACTGCATTTGTTGCCTTTAAGCTCCAGCACTCATTCCAGCAAACACTCAGAAGTTATGGAGCATCCATATTCAATTTATTAGAATAAAACAAACCTTGATCACCACTGAATTTCTAATATTAAGACAAAACTTTTTTTTTTTTTTCCAATTTAACAACAAACCACCCACTCTCCCTTAATCGTGATTGAAGACCCAAACATAAAAGAGGGCAAAATCCTTTCTATTAATCACAAGTCACAAGACTCAGATTTGATCTCCTACAAAAGCATCATTTCTAAAATTGGAGAGCTTATTAGCCTCCTCACACATTGTAGATGCTCTTTTTTGGTTTGTTTGACAAAAATATTGGTGCATTAAATGCACCCTCCTTAAAGTCCAAAATTTCAACCACCGTCAGTTGTCGGCAACCGTCAGTCGTCAGTAGCCGCCTAACACCCTTGCTTAACTTGGCAGTGTGGATTTTGGTCATTCAAAATCTACAGACCGATTAAAAATCTAGGATTTGAATTCCAAAAAACTCTATAAATAAAGCTCGTTTCCTATAAGAAAAAAGAGGGGATCGATGAAAAAAAACCTTGCTGAAAATAAAAAAAAACAAATAAAAAAAGGTTTTGCCATATTAAAAAAAAACAAAACAAAAAATATCGAACACATAAACACAAAAAGCAATCTCTCTGGTGAGGGAACTTCAGCGCCAGATTCAAAAATCAAGATCTATAAAAAAAATAATAAAAAGAGTTTTGGTCGAAACTTTCAGCATTGATCTAGACTATTCATGCTATTTTCTCACAAAAAATAGATCAAATTGAGACTTAGGAGTCTAGGAGGACTTTTTTTGGTGGGTTTTTGAAGTTTTTCGATCACTAATGATGGTGGTTGGTGATTGATGGTAGTGGTGGTATGACAACAACTACGATCGGTAAGCTTCTCTTGGATTTTAGTTTAGAGAAAAAATAAAAGGGGATATTTTTTTTTAAAAGAGGGGGAAGGAATGAGCAAAAAAAAAAGTTTGGGCTTTATATATAGGAAACTCTGAGCCAAAACGATGTTGGTTGGGAGAAGGGCCAAAATGACGTCGTTTTGACCTTATAGGATTTGTGTGCCACTCGTAAGATTTATGTGCGGCGCGTGACTCGATCCGAGATTTGCACAACGACTCGTACCCAATCTGTCTCCCTTATTAGCCCTTAGTTGGTTCAGTAGAATAGCTGATCGATTAAGATCGGACTAGACTGACATTAACTGGACTATTGACCAATCCAATTAAGGTAAAATTTTTTTTTTGAATTATTTTTGTTATTTTGAATTTTTATCATTAATATTTGTATATGTTAAAATATTTAAGTTTGCTAGAATAAATTTTTATTGTTTTAATAATTAGTAAAAATTAAAAACAAAAAGATGAATAAATAATGAAATACCTAGTTGAAATTTTTGATAATTTTGTTAAAATTTGGAATAAACCTTATAAAATAATTGATAAAACTAATAAAACATTAGTAAAAATGTAAGAAAAGGAAATTTTTATTTGACAATGAGATTCAAAGGTATTCCAAGTAGTGATACCTACAAAATCTCTAAGTAAGAAAATATTTTTAAATTCTATTAATGTATCAAAGCATTTATTGAAAATTTTAAATATGATAAAAATTCTTCTTTAAAAATAAAAAAAATAAATAAAAATGTGTGCATCAACATATTATAATTTGCATTGCATGCATGATATATCTTTTTCACAAAAAGTAAATTCGAGCCTTCAAGGATAAGACTCTAAGGTATTCCGATAAGTAATGCCTAAAAAATCTTTAGGTGAGAAATAGTTTTTTTAATGTTACCAACGTATTGAAACATTTTAAGAATTATTTCAATAAAAGAGTTCTAATTTATTTTTCTTGAATAAAAAATGGAACAATAAATATGGAATAAAAATAACAAGAAATCAAAATTTCAATAAACAAAGGAAGTCAAGAAAATTACTTGCTAAACATCGAAATTAAGACTTTTTTTATCTGGATTAGTAGATAACATGTAATTAATTGGTATTGTTCTAAACGGGTGCTGTGGGGGTGCTAATATTTTCTCATGCATAATCGACTCCTGAACCTAGACCGTTTCGTAGACCCAAAAATTATCCTTTTAATAAATTTTAATTAATTTTAAAATTTTTATTAAAAGTATACGTTTTAATAGGTGGCTAATCGCACTTAGCCAAAAAGATTGGTGGTGACTCTTTTTTTTTAATTTTGTTTTTAAATTTGTCTGACGGCTCTAAAACCATTAAGACACACATACCATAACATCATAAGATAAGTTTTTGAGTTTCTAAGATACGGTCCTCATTTTAATTTCCTTAACAGAGGAAGTTGTTTGCCATGACTTACATAGGAATAGACAGGACCAGGT